TTTTTGCATGCTTATTATAAAAAACAAATGATAGCAGTAAAGCCTTACTTTAGAACTAATAAAGTATAATCTTTTCTGAAGAATCAAAATATCGATCACTCTCTTTTGTACTTTGTACCCAGACCAAAAGAAGTTCGATATTTGTGATATCTTGCATTTTACTACCCAGTGAAGGGAAGACAAAAATTAATTTTCATTGCACTCTGAGTCAAGGCCTGATATAAATAACAAAATCCAAAAATATGTATTTTATTGGGCTGAACTGTCCGAAGAAAAGCTGAAAATGGAAAGAAGTTGCTTACGGCTTCAGAATACTGGATGCATTACGACCGTATTAGAGAATGTGTCGCCCTGCCAGACCCCCGACGCACCCTCAGCATGGCACCTGCTCTAACAGTTTGTTGCAATAGTCTGTTGTGCAATGCATTTCAGTAACCTTTTCCTCAAAAGACACGGAGATGCATTTTGTAATTGGTGCTGAGTACTATACAGTATTTTTACAGTATTTACTAGGTACTTAATATAGCATTTGCTATACATAGATTATGAGCCTCGAGAAAGTTATCAGACCCACTTTTTCTAAAAATGCTCTTGTTTAAGGTTGAACTGATTTTTTTCCATCATTTGTCACAAAATATCCAGTAATGACCAAATGACAACAGGCTTTTAGGAAATTAAGCCTTATTAAAAGTAAGTAATTGAAATCTCTCACTTTGTAGGGCATATTTCTGGAAAAGTGTGTTTTGGAAAAAAAATGCATTTAAGTTTCCCAGTTGCTGGTGCATCAACCATGGTGCAAATTAGGGAAACAAGATCCTTGATTAGTGAACAAGAGCCTAATGGTCACTCTAACAGTCCCAGCGTTCCTGTGTAAAGGTAGGAGAACCTTCTAGTTGGAAAAAGCTTTGCAGCACTGCAGATACATTCCTGAGATAATGGCATGTGACAGGCAACCTGGTGCACTTAAAGGAAAGAGTAAATGTAAGGAACAGGTCTTGAGTATCTGACAAGGACCAGGCGCTGCTTATCACCCGAGTAACACCATCCCAACTTTGGAGGAGGGACTGAGTACTGTTATAAATGGGATGTTTTTCGGTTTTTGATAAAGTTGTCATTATGGGGTGTTGTGTGTTGACTGGGAGAGAAAAAAAGATTCAGGTCAATGCCCTTTAGAATAAACCTACAGCAATTCACAAATAGTTTGGAGACACATGGAGGGATGTGAAATCTCTCAATGTATGTGCATGAACATGGTGGTAAACCACTGGCTTCTTTCATGCTGCTATCTGATGTAAACTGGGTTTCTGCTCATATTGATGGGGTGTAAACAGGTCGGTGTTAGCTTTGAGCATTAGCCTTGCTGGTAAAATGATGCATTTATACATGAGGGCTCTGTGTGTTTATTAAGGTGTTCTTCATACCATTTTCCAAGGTGGCCTATGGTGAGAATCAATCTGTGACTTGGGGCACAAAAGCCAGTGTGATTAAATGCAGAGGCTAACAGCTTTTGGAAAAGGCTGATTGCTACAATTTATGAAAATACTTGGCAATTTGTAAACTTTGAACAGTGATTTTTTTTCAAGGCTGACAAGCATCCTGTGTCTCCATTATGAATTCATTATGAATTTCATTCTGGTAGCTGTTTTATTTATTTTAACAGGAACTCTTGCTTTGACCAGTGTAATCTGCTGTAGGAATTCCTTCAGCCAGGTGAATTTTCAGTCTTTTTCATTGTGTCTCTGTCCACTTGATCATTGGTGCAATAACACCAGTCCTTGGATGGCAGAAGACCTTTGTGATCTTGGTGTCAGGGGACCAGCTTGGCCTCCATGCAGGAATCCCCTACCCCCCC